TGACCTCGAAAGACCTGTGGCCACCTTCGCGGATAGTTGTCCTTTCTTTTCTCGGTCTGAAACCCTTTTGATGGTCCACCGGGACACTCCCACGGCGATTGAAATGTCTTTTTGCGACATTTGCGCGTGGGACAAATCACGAATACGCTGCCACTTCGTCATGGTGCAACTGTCAAACTAAGTAAATCATTTTCTTTTATACGCAGCCTACTACGGTATGAGCTATTTTTACGTGCATGCAAAGAAAACCAAGGCATTGAATGGACAGGGGAAACGGGAACCTTATTTGTACGATGGTGCAAACATTATCACGCATACGGTATAAGCTGTTAACCAGATTTAATAACAATTGTGAAACATTGTTCTTGCATCACGCTTTTTACACTTTACAGCCATTCAGATTAAACATCAGTTAATCAATGTTAAACAGTTTTCATATTAAATTTGGAGGTTTATGTTTATCAGTGTTCTGCTCTTCAACATTGCGAAGAGTAACTGTTCTTTTCACATGACTTGTCAAATAGAAAAAGAAATATTGCATATTAAGAATTATCACGGCGTTATCCTTAAACTCACAAAAAATTTCTCTTGAAACTATACTCGGAAGTCTCTGGAAAGCCCTTGAAACTCTCCTAAGTATTTCCCTGGAATCCTTCTTAAAATTCGATTTCAGCTTTTATGGAAGTTTGATTCCTTTGTAATTTTTCTGAAAATTTTCAATGAATTCAAAACTATCATCAGAAATCTCCCGTTATTGTCTGCTGAATTATATTTAAGCTTTCCTCAAGATTATCTTTGAATTTCTCCTCTGTTTTATGAATCATCCTTAGAATACGATTCATTTGATATTTGTTTCGGATTTCAATTGAATTTCTTTTCTGAACTTTCCTCAGCTTAGCTTTGAAATTATCTTCAGGATTCCTTTTTAATTCTGCATATAATTATTTTTAAACTCTCATCTGAATTGTTTTGGAATTCTTATTTAAGTTTTCCTGCACTCCTCACGGTTTAAATTTTCCAAGGAATTCAATTAAAAATTCCCTTCCTCTAAAATAAATCCCTGGAGTTTCTAAGGACTTAATCTCAAAATTGATCCCGCAGAATGTTTCCCTTTTTTAAATATCCTGCTCAGCATTTCATTAATTCCTTTTAAATCCTCCTCTAAAATTCCATGGGTATTCTAGACAGAGTTCTATAAAAAAAAATCTTCAAAGTTTAGAGCTCTGAAAATTTATATCAAGCCCAAAGCCTTGAATTTTGTTCACGGCAACATCTCGACAACATTCTCAGTCCCAGTTAAATATTGCCATTTCTGTTTTTATTTTCTCTAAATCTAAAATCACAAAGACTATCGAAAAAATGTCAAGACTCCAAATATATGCCAAAATATGAAATTTTCTTAAATCTCCAAGAATTTTCTCAGATATCATATGTTTCCAATTTCAAGTATTCTAAAATAATGTTTCAATCCATCAATCATTGTTTACAATTTGGTCTAATGACCAATTCAGTCTGATAGTATTTGGCCTAGTGACCTTAAAAATTGTCTTTATACTTTTTTTTCATTTATTTAACGTTGGCCTCTGTTCCGCAATCTAGAGCCTAGCCTAAGGCTAAAAATCTCTTTGATAGAGCTTTAAAAAAAAACCTGTTCCGCAATCTAGTGCCAATCACCGACGGACATCGATTGCCATCCATAGACCGCAACCAAATGTGCAGGAAAGCAGCTTCCACACCTGCGTAGGATATCGCGCCCATTCACAACACACACATGGGCCGGGACCAACGGATTTACTTCCCTTCCGAAGGAGAAGACGTGACCAGAGATTTTTATGCCTCAGAAAAATCCCACCGACCTCGGCTGGGATTGAACCCAGACCCATTGGGGTGTTGGAGAGCAGTCACGCTTACCACTACACCGCCGGCGCCGGCAAAGGCTTTATACTTTGTAAATTATTTGTTTGAAAACATGAGACCGGCGAATCCAACATATAAAGCAACCAACGATACAGACAAACCGGTTGCTACGACTATCATGACAAACTCGCTCTGTAACATAGCTCGATCCAAGTGGTAGAAGGATAATGATATATTGCTTGCCTGCTTTGTTGCAATATACACGGATGAGAACATAGCTTGATATGAATCGAGAAAAGACATTACAAAAAAATTCCCATTAACAAACGTGTAGGCTTTTTGAGATAATTTCCGTCCTACTAAGCACAACGCGCACTTTACCTCTCTTTTCTGAACGAGTTTTAACTAAAAATGGAATATTTCTGTCAAAGATGGCCTTTAAATTTATTCACCTTTCCATACGTACCGTTAGATTTGATAAAGAGTCACAAATTGTTGAGATATTGTTTAAAATCTAATTCCGTCCAAACGCATTGAAACGCCATTAGATTTTCTTCGTTCTACGGATAAACGTAGAAAAAGGGGATTCGCTAGGAGCGCTTCTTTTGTTTTTAAAAACAATGAGCGTAAATATTCATACAATGCGCTCTAACAGGATTTATGTTGTAGCTAATGAACTAACGCATCGGAACAAACCTATTTTTGATTTGTGCACGGTGAAGTCATTGATATTATTGATCTTTTCTGATCGATAGAACGGAAATGGGCGATAACGACGAAGTAGCGCTCGCTCTACCCTATCATCTTCGACTTTACTTCGTGAAGCAGCTTGCCAACAATTTGCTCGTTTCCTTCTACCGGCCCGAGTAAGTTGTGTCGCACGGGCTGCTTGTCATGAAAACGAAGGAAGAATATTACATCATTATTGCTTTCCACTTCTGACATAGCTATATCATTCGGTTCGTTGATCGCTTGTCATTTTGTCATTTGGAGATATTTTTAATTCCTTGCATGAGACATAAGCAATTGAGACAAATTAAATCCAATATCAGCATTTAAAAAAAAACCGGTCATTGTTGTCCTTCACTTGAAGAAGTATTTTTCATTAAACGAAGTGTCAATGAATCAGCATTATTTAAAAAAGAATACGGTAAAATGTTTCTAATATTGATAAATCAATGGTTTTCTCTGAAATTTACAGTTTACAGCGCATCTATGCATTTTAAGCAACATTTTTAGTAATTTCTGCTGAAAATACACTTCGCACAAGGATTCTAGCATCTGGTTCGGATTTACCCAAATTTAATAATGTACTCGAATGTTCTTTGAAGGGCTGATCAATTTCAACCCATATCGATATTTTCAAATTAGAGATTTCAAAAATGTTTTAAAAATAAACCACACACTCAATATCATAAGTAATCATGCAGAACGATAGAAACCTCATAGCTACTAATGTCCATACCATAAGTTAGTCAATTTCGTATATTGTAGACATTTATTTCTATATTTACATTATTAAGTGATCAATTTGCCCCCGGTACATCGAATATAACATATACTTTGTGATTCTTTTAAACAATCACTTCCCAGCTATGGATCACTTCCAAATAGCTATCACATAAACCTAACTGATTCATAATTATTATTGTGGGATGACTGAACAACGGATAGGTAGAATTGATCAAACAGTTATCGTTAAGATTAATGATTTATTTTGGAATACATCAAATAATCCATTTACAGGATGATTCAGAACAACTGTCATCAATTTCACAAATATGAAATTCGCAATGGGAAGAATGGGTATATGTTCAAGTATTTTTGTGTGCACATATATCAACTTGTATTGAAAGTAAGATTTGAAATTGCATTCATTTGCGATTTCAAGCAGTCACTGGAAAACCGAGCATCTCTTCGAATGAATGATACATTTATTTTTCGCATCATTAGCTTAGACGCGTAGGGGCTCTAAAAGTGCTGGAACTAAAGCGTGCATGGTTTATTTCCGTGACAAAGTATGCTAAGTTGAAGGTTATGTAGTATATCTGGAATATACTGATATCAAAAAATCATGCAAGCGTTCAATCGTTGTGACTATTTTTATTCCGAATCACCCTGTAGTTGAATAAACTTAAGTTTTGCTACTGAAGATTCTTTCACAAGTGATCTCGATTTAAAAAAAAATGATTATTTAGCAACTGCATATTAGAAATCAGGATTTTTTTTATTTATATCGGGAAAACCGGGAAAAAACTCGGACATTTAAAATGAAAGATCACTGCCCATCCTGAATTTTATAGAAGGCAATAATGATGATGCATAAATAATCCCCGATTCAAAAAATCTCTGCTACTTCCAATCAAAAATCGGATCAGAAGACTCTTTATTAAATTCGAAAAATCTAGTATACCTCAATGAATTTGAAAACTTCACCTTATTTGTGATCGGTTGTAACAAAATTCAGCCAAGTTGAATACAATTATACGTAAATATTGCCTTGTAGTAAAAATTATAAAACAAAGGTTATCAAGACCCACATGGACAAGTAGTGCTTCTAAATTAAAAAAAAACCACACAATATATCCAATAATACCTCAAAATTCACCTCTGATATAAATTAACAAAGACATCATATGAATGTATAAGATTAACAGGAGATATCTTCAAGTTCGCTTAAGCAACCAAAAATATACAAACTGGTTTCAAATTTGCATCAACATGCAGCAACACAACCAGCTATGTAAGGGTCGTAAGAGATGCAACTTCATTGATTATTCCGAAGCAAGCGTGACCTTGATCTATCGAACCTGTTCACTACTGGATCACTGCTGACTGAACAGTGACGCAAGGGAAAAATGAATACCACCCTTAGCGTCACACGAGAAATCACTTATGCCACACAACAACATCGCAGCATTCAATCTATGCTGGCATCTCGTGTCGGTCGCGCATAGCTTCATTCGAAGAATCACTCCGTCTCGCGGATCTAAAGTCAAGTGAATCGAATTCCGCGATCGTGTGCGCACGCGATAGTCCTCTAGGCTGTGGCGGCGGCGGTGGTGGCTCGTGTTCCGATGACAATGCAAAGTGGTCCCTAATCGAGTCTAATCCACCCGTTCCGTACCTAAAAGTGAGATATCAAGGATGGTAATTGTTCTTTGTGCCGCCAGCCGCTCTTTGGTAGGCTCTAATGTGTGAATAGTTGATTGAAGGTAGCGATCGCTGCCAGTGCAAATCGATCGATCAAATCGTCAATGCTCGTCGGTTCTACTAGACATGAGTGCCCTACTACAGCTGAGGCCTCCGCAAAAATTGAGCCATTAACAATCTGTGAAGTGTGTGCGGTGCATTTTGCGATGAAAAGGCATGGAAAGGAAATCGTCCGATCGCAGGTGGGAAAACAGAATGAACATTACCGAGCTCGTTACCATCGTTGCTGTTGGTGGCCGGTGGGTTGTTGATGTTGTTTATTAGTTTTGTTGCGCCTAATCTAACACACTGCGCTCAATCAATCGAAGGTAAATTTAATAAATGTAATGTTATTTGCTTGTACGCTCTCGGCGGAAGGAAGTCGGATGTGCCATGAGAATGGATGTCTTGTGATGTACCTACCAGCTGCTTCGAGTCTAGTTCTAGAAAGGCTCCACTGGCTAACAGGGCCATGGTTGATGAAAGACTAAAGGTACGAAATTCCACCGCTGCCACCACCATGCATTACGCTTTCGAATGACGAATCATGCTGAATGAATGTAATGAGCACCTTTTCAAAAGATTTGCCGGCCACGATGCAAAGCCTCCTAATGTGTAATTAAGAGAAGCGATCGGCCTTGCCGGAGAGCGATTGAACTGAATCCTCCTATTTGAAAAGCTTGAAGATGGATATGGAGGAAAGAAGAGACGTTCATAATGGTTGAACTTGACTCTCGGTTCAGAAAAGTGAACGCAACCGGGAATTGATTAAACGATTCCGGACAATGTCAATGTACGATGTAAATTCATGCTCAGTCTATGCGAGGCATAATATTCACCGAATGATCATACAGACACCCCAGTATTATGGGCCAGCTAGTCACTATTATGGGTCAGTCAGCTCTGCGTGTTAATCAAATGGAAGTGGCCCATAATTGTAGGTGTCCCATAATACTGGGGTGACTGTAGTTTCAGTTTAATAAATAAAGTGATCAATTTGCTTCCGTATGGTATTTCGGCCATATGACATAGGCCATGGCTGGTGCATGTCAAAACTTGAGCAAATTTTAAGTAGTGCCAATGCTGGTTCACTTCCTCCATTACAGTATTTAAAACAAATAGAATTATGCTGTGTTAAGACTAGAGAGTTATAGCATGTTACAAAACTATCTTTAAGACACTTTTCTTGTCGATCATTATTGTAACATGTTACAAGTGCACTAGTATAAACAAAACATGAGTTTCCCAGTTATGGCATATGCACTAGACATGGCACAATCCCATATACGCAACCCAACAAACATTGACAGATGCTTAATCGCTCATTCCGGCAAACATATGCTTCTCCAGCTAAAAAATGACTAGCCGCTAATCGAATCGAGGCATGATTATGCTGTGGGATCGAGGAGAATTCCATGATCATTGTCATAGTCAGAAGTTTAACAATTAATTAAATCTAGATATATAACAATAAGATATTCTGTTTTCAATATCTGAGTCTTATAGTGTATATCATACAGTAAGGTGGTTATCCTTGCATTCGAAAACCATTTCATGGTTATCCCTTCTCAGAAGAAGTGTAAATGGTACTTTAAAATAAAAAGTTTTCACAAACTTAGTGCTTCAAACTCAAACTTAAGTGAACAGTGTTTAGCAGTGATATCCTTTTCAGAAGACGAAAAACTAAGGCAAACAAGGCAAGATTGAGATTAACCATGTCATTGTTGAGTTGAGAGAGGGTTATCAAGTGTCAATGATTTCTTCGCTAGGGGATAAGGAGTCTAAAATTTCTAAAATACTGTCTCCGTGTCTGACAAGCAACGTTTTACTTATTTGAAATTCCAAAAATGTATCAGGGAAAAAGTTTCAGGCAATTTAAATGTAATAAGCTGTTATAAACAGAAGCACCTGAAGTAAATTTTAGAAAATTTCTCTAAACTTTGCCTCAGATCCGGTGTCCCTACTTTCAAAAATAAGAAAGTTTGTTCTTGATTATCATAAAATTGAGGACCACCCTTAATTTGAAAACGGCCAAAAGAAGTAACCTTTGAAGCAAACAAAATTGCAAAAATTACAATCATATAAAACTTAAGACAAAAGCTTTAGGACGTATGTCTTGCTAAATTCTCATCCTGGACAATAATAAAGTGGTGCTATCTCTGAAAATCATCTGAAGTCAACTTTTACACAAACTTAATTTTTCTTCAACACCTGAAGTCATTTCAGAAAATTTGTTCTAAATTAGAACGTTTAAAGATAATAAATGTTTCTTTAACAAAGATACTTGAAATTATCTTAGCTACAATTTTGTTAAAGATCGTGTGGCTCTGTTTTCAAAAATATGAAAGTTAATTTTAGAATTACAAATAACCCTAATTTTAGAAAATGCAAAAAAAAGAAACATTTTAAACAAATAACAAATTACCGAAGACACCATTAATGTCTAAAACTTAAGATAAAAACACTATAACTTTTGACTTGTTAAATGCCGATCCTGGGCCAATTTTCGCTATCTCAGATGGAATTTCGCAGCTGAGAAATTCTCACTGAAAGCGGCCACTTTTTGTTCGAGTTTTGTAAAACCATTTCGTTATTTCAAAGCTCTAGTTATGAGCATAGAAACATCGTTCTAAAGTAGGATATCGATAAACCTCTAGGGGACTAGGAACTCCGACAACTTAAGAAAAAGATCATTTTTTGCCATTCTTTAAAAATATTTGCAATAAATCCTAAAGTTTACACACCATTCAAAATATAAATGACAGGACTTTCATTCGGCATATTTAGAATTTTCAGCGGTCTATTTTTTTAAGGTTTTTAACCGTAGAACCGGTCATTCAACCCCCATCACTTAAATGTTTATTGTACAATTCACTGTGATTCCAAATTCAATTCGATTTAAAGTTGATTCAGTAGATTAGTTGTTCTCAAAAATTTCACTAGTTTCTTCTCATTCTCTTCTTCGTTATTCAAGATCATGCCAATCGTTGATGCTAAGCCGCATTCTCTTCGCTGCACTTCGTAAGCTCTAAAGTCCAGCAGTATATGTGGTACACTAAAGGGTTCTCCACATATAACCCAAGAGTTGTTGTCACGATTGAACAGATGTTGATGTGTTAACCTCGTGTGTCCGATGCGCAAACGACTAATGGCTCTTCTTTCAGAAGCAGTGTGTCTGTCTGTCCATTTTACAGTTGTTGCTTTCAAGGTCCTCAAAAATGTTGTACTGCTCCACCACTGATATTCCCATTTTTGTGCAATTTCAAATCTGCAGCTTCGTATAGCGTCCTCGCTAGGGATGCCACAGAGGAAGAATTCATCATCCCCGTCTGCTTTTGCCAGTGCGTCCGCTCTTTCATTTCCGTGTATTCCCACATGGCCGGGAATCCAGCATAGCGCTATCGATTTTCCTTTTGCAGCCTTTTCTATTTCTTGTATCCAAGTATGTCGAGATTGACCCTTTTCTAACGCCCAATCTATCTTTATTCCTGGGTCATCCCATGCTCTTTCGCTGACCCTACACAACGCTGCAATTTGTGGAAAATCCTTTTCGGTAAGATTCTGGTACGCTGTTTTTGTTCTTTCAATAGAGGAAAAACAGCTCGTGGCTTGTGTGTTGGTACATGGAAAGAGAAGATCGCACCTTTCAAGAACCCGGATAGCTTTAGTTACCATATTAACGATTACGGTATGCTCAAAGGGTAGTTGCCCTGCTTCTGCCATGAAGGAGTCCACCGGACTTGAACGGAATACGCCGGATGATCCTCTGATTCCGGAGTTGTAGAGAGGTTTTAACTGCTTCATGTTAACAACACTGCCACTATTCACCATGCTCATCCCGAATAGTAATTTCGGAAGTAATACTGCATTGGTAATCTGCAACATTGTCTTCCGTGTACCACCATTCATTCTATTGCCAACAATTTTTAGAAAATTTAGAACGGTCTGGACGCTACTTCGTACTGTTGCCGAATGCCTTTTAAAAGTGAGTCGTTTATCCACAATAACTCCCAGAATTCTGGTCTACTCCACTTCTGGAACTGTAGTTTGTTTGATCGAAATTGCCGGGACGTACGGGTGTTTTCGCTTCCTGCAGACATGCATGTAGCTAGACTTTTCAGAGGAGATGGTCATTTTAGTCTGATGCGCCCGTGCTCCCAGGATTGTGGCGGCTTCCTGCAATTTTCGACGCACTTCCTTAGGGTCAGAATCTATGGCTAGTAGCAATATATCGTCAGCGTAGACAAATATATAAATTTCCCTAGGGATTCTCTCCAATACCGTCTCCATTAGGACGAGGAATAGCGTGACAGAGAGTATCGAACCTTGTGGGACTCCTGTTTCTTGAGTTCGACAAGTGGAATGCACATTTCCTATCATCACACGGAAGCTCCTTTCTGTTAGGAAGTTTTTTACAAAACGAATAATTCTTCCATATATGCCCCAACTGTTCAGTTTCAAAATGATTTGGATCCTGTCAGCTTTATCATACGCCTTCTGCAAGTCTATCGTTAGCAACTCACAATGTTTTCCTTTCTCAAATGACTGACGAATTGCCCCTTGATGATTCCGGAAATGTTCCTGAGTACCATAGGTCATTGATTGTCTTCAAGACATGTTGTTTTATACGGAATGGTAGATGTCATAGTATTGGATAACTGATGTTATTGGCTCCTACTGATGTATTACCACCTTTGTCTAGAGCCCATAAGAGTTCGTCTACGCTGAAAATGTTGTTGTAGTCTACTACAAAGTCCGTGAGTACAGTACAGTAGGATATCGATAAACCCCTCTTTATCTAGGGACTCCGACAACTTAAGAAAAAGATAATTTTTTGCCATTCTTGAATGATTAAAATTAATATATCTATTCAAATATTTGCAATAAATCCTAAAGTTTACTATCCATTCAAAATATAAATCACAGGACTTTCATTTGGCATATTTAGAATTTTCAGCTTTCTATATTATTATTGTTAATGTTACTTTAATACCGATAATAATAATTAATGGGTCACTCGTGACTAACAATGTGGCGGCCATATTTAATTGAGCTATTAGATTTATTCGAAGAAATTAGTTTTTCATAGCTCATAAGCTTAAAAAAAAATTAAAAACTAAGCTCACCATTTGAATGCTGAAACTTCTTCACATAAGATACATATCAAATTAAAATGAAGCATTTTGTTTCTCGTAGAAATCCTCAGAGGGAGAGATGGGCGGAGAAAACAAAATACAATTTGACAGCATTTATCTTGCAACTCTTGCCAGTAGGTTGAGTTTCACATGACTTTTCTCCCCAATTCGATGTACGTGCAAAATAATAATTG